ATGGGCGCTCTGTTTGACAATGAAATCGCATCACAACGAACTTTTTGTAATCGCAAAAGCGATCGCAAAACAATGTTCCCTATGGGGGAATTTCGCTTTGCGATGAGCGGTTCCCTGCTTCGGGGAACCGATTTTTAACAGCTGATCGGCGGTTTCAAAACGGCTGCCCACTGTGTTTTTGCAGGGATTCCTCGCTGCACAGGCAGCGAAAATGGCCGCGCTATGGAGGATCTTCGCTGGACGGTGAGTTTGAAGCCCCTAGGAACGCATTAATCTGGTTTTAATATGTTTCTATAAGGCTTTTTAAAATCGCATTACGACGTTTTCATTCTACAGCTATTTTGCTGGAACGAATTAACATCGTAATGCGAGGCACCACTGTACTAGAGACGGGGGTATTTGTATATGAATACGCACAGGTGGAAATAACGAGGGACTGTCCACTCAGGATTTCATCGCTGCCACCGGCTCTATAGCGGCTTCCTACTGCTCTGTTCTCCGCAGTGGACTAGCCACTCTCTGACCCAGCAGAGAGGCTTTTCATCCTGCCTCCTGCCAGGACAGGGTAACTGATTGCGGACAATGGCACGATAGGAAGGCACTGCGGAGCCGGCGACAGTGGCAAAATTGTGACTGGACCCTCGTTATTTCCACCTATGTGTGGATATTCGTATACGAATACCCCCATCTCTATTTAATACTAGAAGAGCCCACTAGGTAGTAAGGCAGCCTGTAGTTCAAGCACCAAATTACTCATCTAACTTTAAACACTTGAGCAGTTAGAATATTGCTGGCAAAGGCAGCAAAGGAAATCTAGTAGCCCACTGCTCTGTATTCATTAGCTTCAATTAAAGAAGCTTTTTGAAGGTCAGGCAGTCCTCTTTTAATTTAACACAGACATGTGCCCTGCTGAAAATGGGTGAAACTAACGAAGCATGTGGGCAATCTGACCCTCAGAGACTAAATCAGCAGAGGATTCAGTGGCACATATTCTATTAAAATTCACTGCAAAAGTTACTTCTCAGCGAATTTATTGCTCTATTGTTTTTTATCCTCTGTCAAGTGGAAGAGACTTTCAACAATATACAGTGGTACCTCGCTTAACGGGCACCCCATTTAACAACGAAATAGAATAGCGATTAACTTTTGCGATGTTTTAAATGGGGGAAAATCGCTTTGCGATGATTAGTACCCTGTTTCGCTTACCGTCGCAAAGCGATGATTTTGGAACAGCTGATTGGTGGTTCCAAAATGGCCACTGGGTAAAAAAAAATGGCCGCCCGCTGTTTTCTGGGACAGATTCCTCGCTTACCGGGCAGCGAAAATGGCTGCCGTATGGAGGATTTTCACTTAAAGGTGAGTCTGAAGCCCATAGGAATGCATTGAAGGGGTTTCAATGCATTCCTATGGGCTTTTTAATATCGCATAGCGACGAAATCACTTTGCAGCGATTTTTGCTGCACCAACTATCATCGCTATGCGAGGCACCACTGTATTTCAATCTGTAAAGCACAGGCTAGTTCTGTGACTCCCAAGTACAGCAGAACTGACTTCTACCAGCTGGAAAGGCTTTAGGTACCTGAGAAGATTGACAATGAGGATGGAGCCAATAGTATGGAAAGGGAGCCAAAGCTAAATCCTCAATCCATAGGTCTAAAAGCAGAGTAGGTACAAGTCATGAAATAATCCAAAAAGCAAGTACTGTATATGAAGTTCATTGGGGGAACCTAGTCCTCTTCCCCCAACTGAGGACAACTGTAAAGTTCAGGCTGTATATGAAGTTCATTAGGGGAACCTAGTCCTCTTCCCCAACTGAGGACAACTGTAAAGTTCAGGATGTTTTATACGATTACACCCACTCATCAGAAAAGAGTTGGCTTTATCATTACTCAGAGGAAGGCAACCCTTGGGTGACAGTGGTAGATGTTCCTCAGATTCTCCTGTACACTATGTGGCTTGAAGTAACCCTTAAACAAATCTTAAACAAATTTAAGAACCTAGTGTGTACTGAAGAAAGATTAAATTGCCAGCCCAATCAGTTTCTGAACATATCTGGTAGTCTGCACTGGTCTTTCCTTGCAGACATTTACCACAGCAGAATGGCACTAAAAGTCTTATCTTCAGCAAAATAAAGGACATTTAAAGAGTGTTAATTGTATCCAAGCCCTTTTTAAAGTCAAAAGAAAAACCATTTAATATACAGAGCATGAAATGTACAGAGAAACAACACTGGGGTTGCAGGGATTTACTGAGAATCATTCACATTCAAACTGATTTGACAAAGAAAATTTTGCTTAGGGGAGGGGCCAGGCAAATCAAGCTTAATCTTCCACCTGCCAAAAATCCTCTTCAAGGGGCTGGTTTTACTTCAAGTCCATCCTACTGAAAACACTGTTCTAAACTACATTAATTTGGGGAGACTAAAAGCCAGTAGTTGCCAGTCATTTGATGGACAACTACACGGACATGGCAACTGTAGTAGAATACAGCCATCCAGGCAAGGGAACTGTAATTTTTCTTATCACTCTCTTATTATACATACTACAAGCTTCTACAATATTGTGCTGAAGAAGTTTGAATGATAGTAACCACACTTACTTTCTTTGTATCAATCAGTGTTGTTGGTGGCATGTGAGTTCCTTTGTAGATGTACTCTTATTTTTTAATACAGACAAGTCTTCCTTACCTCAGGGTTTTCACCACCACCACTCCCGTTAATAATTACATAATAACAGTTGTGGTTTAGAAAAATTTGCCATATTGGAGAAGAAAAATAGCAACTATGCCATTAGAAGTCAAAAATGAAGAAGCCCTTAATTGCACAAGTTTACTTCAGAATTAGGTTAAAGGAACAAATTAATAGCACTAATTCAACATGCTAAGCTTTTAGCTTTTAAATGTTAACAACAATGGACGAATTTTCCAATTTCTATCCCTGAATGCTAGCACATTAATTTTCAAACCTAAATTCCAAGTTCTGTACTATACAATTAAATAACATAACACAGAACCAAAAAAGCACAGATCCAATTAAAATAAAAAATATATATTCCAAACTCACTACAACTTTAAAATTAAAACAGCTACAACTGTGTAGAGATTAAGTTTAGCAGTCATTTACATATAATATGGGCTTCATTTTTAGTTAGACAAGAAAAATCGTATTTTTGGACTGCAATGTCCGGCATAGTGTAGGATTCTCAGAGATGTAGTCCAAAAAAGTACTAACTTTTTCCATCTTTGCCTTTAACCAAAGCAGGAAAAAATGAGAAAGAACAATACTGAGAACTTTTAAACTGAAAGTATGATCTTGTGTGAGCCAAGCACATGCTTTATCATAAAGCAATAATTTTCCCCTACTCAGAGGCTTCAGTTAGATTGGAATAAATTTATAGATCTCTTTGTTAATCTTACACACTGCACCATTATAAAACAGAATAAGACAATCAAAATAAAAGGATAGACTGTTGCCCCTAACAAAATATCTTGGATTTGATTGGCATTTAAGACTAACTACATTTGAGACAGACAGCTGAGCCTTTGGGCAAAATTCGCCATTCTGTCTTATCCTGCAATAAGAATGTCAACTGATTGTCCCAGTTAAAACAACTGAGAAAATAGATGCCCATGAGTGTTAAGTCTTCTAACAGCAATCAAATCTTAAAAATCATCATACTTATTTACCCTCCAAGAATTTACCCTCCAAAACTCAGGGATTCTATTTTATTCACTTCTAAACAGTCCTTCAATATGCATATGTTACAGGTGTCTTATCATAGCAAAGCCAGTACAAAATGAGAACTGAAGCAACAAACCCAAATCCACAGGGTATACTGTAAATAGTAAAGCCAGTGAGAAAAACCATACGGTCCCCACAGTCTTTGAGGACAGTATGGGTTAACAATATCAGGACTGCCTCGAAGCGTTCATATTATAAGTAAAATATAATTATAGCTTTTAAATGTTAAAAGTAATTTTTAATGGTGTTGAGAGTAAATCCTGTGGTTAGGAAAGGCCTTGGGATGGTTTGTAACTCTCTCACATATTTCTTGTGAAGGCTGGAAAAGCAGCAAAACAAAAAATGGCCATCAGACCAGGTTTAAGGAACTTGGCTTGACCTAGGCAGAACCTCTTAGCCGAACCAAACTGGGGATTAGTTTGAGGGCATCATTGTTTGGCACTGCCACGTCCAGTACCAGAACTGCAACCTGTTGTAAGGAACGCAGCAAAAGGCTAACACAGTTGCCATGGAAAATGTTTATCTTGAGAAACACCACCAGTGTCTCACTAGTAATGTGAGGTTAGCAATTGTGCCTTTTGATGGGTAGTATGTTTTAACTCCAGAGACCTTTGCAGTGCATGCCGGGGAAATGTGGCAACCATGAAGAAATACAAGCCGGGAATCTCCCACGCTTCTCATCCTTTGGCTGTAGAATCATTCTGGAACTTTCACCGCCACGGCCTTAAAACGGGAAAGGCGCATTCTGGAATCCCAGAAGAACTGGAGGCGCAGCACCTGTCCCGGCGTGCTCCCCTTAATCCCCCCTCAATGAAAGCCACCTGCATCTCTTACAATACACGCATGAAGAAGGTTAACGTGTGCAGCCGCTGCCCACTTTCCTACCCTGGCCTAGCTTGGGGGGAAGGGAAAACAAGGGGGGCGAGATGTACAGTGCCAAGGCCGACGAGGGCTCGGACGGTGTGGTCCAAGGGCAATGGCAGGGAAAGGGTAGGGGATTAATGGTGAGGCGGAAGGGGGCGAATTAACTAGCAGGCCTTAAAGGGGGGGGGATACAGAGCATGCTGTGCGCGCGCCTCAGAGAGAGAGAGAAAGAAAGAGAGAGACCCTAAGATGGAGGGCGCCCGCCCGCCTCCTTCCTCAAACAGGCCAGGCTGGGGGTGCACAGGCTCCCTGCCCGTCTCTTCCTTTCCTCCCTCCCGGCTCGCAGGCTGCGTCGACCTCCCAGCCCGGCCGTCCTCCTCCGCCTCAGCGGCTCTACCTGAATTGCTCCTCCTCCTGCTGCTGCCGCCGCCGTCCTCCATCCTGACGCCCATCTTCTCGGGCGGCGTCCTGTAGCCCAGCGGGGCCCCAAGAAGTCCGGACCGCCGGCCTCCTTCTCTCCTCCGGGCAGGCCAGGGGCGGGCCTGGCAGCCGGCGAGGTTGCTATGGGCACCGTCGCTCGCTTTGCAGCCGCCGCCGCCACGGGGAGTGTTAAGTCCAGGGACCGGGAAAGACACGGAAGGGGGAGGACGGAGATGGCCCATGCTGGCCTAATCCTGTGCTCGTTTCTTTGGGGGATGGTGCGGCTGGAGTTTTCGGGAGGGCTTATTCTCTGGCAGAACTGCGCAGGATTGCAGACCAGGAAGGAGAAATTTAGGGGGAAAGGGGGGGGAAGGGCGCTCTCTCGCTTGGGGTATTATTATTATTAATTGGACGTAATATCAGTAGAACGCGGCTCTGGGTTTCGGAAAGTGATGGCCTAGAGTGGGGAGATGTTATGTTTTGCTCCACCGTCACCTCAGTGAGGTCATACCCCAGCTCCTGCGCAGCTGAAAGTCAGCTGTGAGTCAACATTATCCCCTTTATAGTGTCTGGAAAACCACTTCATTTCTACAGTATTTGAAAGCTATTGGCTCCAGTTTCGTTTCTTGAAAGTTAGCTTTTGCTTTTGTTGTGGGGGAGGGTAATTAAAACATCACCCTTGGTTTTGGATTGTGCAGAAGGACTGCATGGGCTCCCCCACCCCCCTTCTAGTGGTCTCAAAAGAAACTTTTCCATCTGGGTGTTGAAATGAGAAACGCCAAGAGATATACACTTAAAGCAGTCTTAAGCATGCTTATTGGAAATAAACCTTCTTATAGTCAGTGTGCTGCTTATATACTGCCCCATAATGCTTAAAACTGTCTTTGGGCAGTTTACCATTTAATTATGCAGGCTACACATTCCACACACACACAGCCAGCAAGCTGGGTAATTGATTTACCAGCCTTCAAAGGATGGAAAGTTGAATCAACCTTGAGCTTGGAATCTAACTTAAGTTGTGATCAGAGTCTTGACTGCAGTTTAATCATTGTGCCATTAAGCTCAGTGAGGCTTTACCCTCCAAAACTCAGTGATTTTACTTTAATCACTTCTAAGCAGTCCTTCAATATGCATATGCCACAGGTGTCTTATCATAGCAAAGCCAGTGCAAAATGAGAACTGAAGCAACAAACCCAAATCCACAGGGTATAAATAGTAAAGCCAGTGAAAAAAACCATACGGTCCCCGCAGTCTTTGGGGATAGTATGGGTTAACATTATCAGGACTGTAAATGTTAAAAGTAATTTTTAATGGTGTAGAGTGTAAATACTATGGTTAGGAAAGGCCTTGGATGGTATGTAACTCACACATTTCATATGAAGGCTGGAAAAGCACTAGAAATAAAAAATGGACATCAGGTTTAAGGAACATGTACGTGAGACAGTATAAAGAGAAAAAAAAGAGGGAGATATAAAGATACCACTAGAAGGTTTAGGACCAGAATAATGGACTGTACTGGTATATCCTTGAGGCCAAGGTCCATGGAGGAAGGTGGTTCAGTTGGGACCTAGCTGAATCAGAAGCCACCCAAGGGAGACTGGTTTCATCACCCCTGTTATGGGACTGTATGTGTGGTGAGGAGTGGTTGTTTGGGAAATCCGACCCATTGAGAGATTCGCACCCTCTCCCTGTTGAGGAAAGAAAACCCTGGTGGAAGCTTACCATTGTTATGGACAGATTTTCCTGTAGACCTTGGTCACGTTGACCCTACAGAAATTATTGTTGAGAAACCTAAAAATCTTGTTAATGAGTTTGTTTTTAAAGAAATGTCCCTTCTGTCTTTTCCCGCCAAAACTGAGGAACTGTCAGACACTATCAATGAACCCTGTCACATAGTATCATTGTCTTTTTTTATGAGCCTTGTCATGTCCACAGTAGGATAGCCTCAGTTTGGTCATTTTAAAGGGCTTTGCTTCCATGTAAATGTGTACAGGGTTGCTCTGATAGGACATTTTCTGGATGCAAACCCAAAAGTGTACAGAAGTAGTACTAAATTCTATTTCTACAATTTTTCCAGAGTTGACAACATTCTTGTAAGGTAACTTAGTAGAACTTCTATCTTACATGAAATAAAACAGTAGACCTACTGTGCAATTCTGGAAAGTCCTACTGTAACCCATATGCCACTCTCTACATCTCTTAGTGCCTGGGGAACTGTATGCCTGTATCAGGTATAATCCAGTGAGTCCCAGTTACTGAGTTGTAGTCTGTTTATCTGGCTAGCAGTGGTTTTATACACACATCATGCTGGCAAGTGGCAACAAATACTGTAATTCATGCCACAGTTCTAATACATACCATACCTATATGGAGGCTTACTTGGAATAGTAGTGTGGGAAGAACCTCCAGAAGAGGCTATTAGCTGCTATATCACTGCAGGTGTAGCATAAGTCTGTGTCCTGCAAAGCATACTTTATTCCCCTACACTTTGCCACCTCAGCGACCACCATAGAACATACAGAATGCAAAATGTACTATTCTTTCATAATCGTTTATCAAGGCTACACTAATTAATATACCTTCATCTAGGTATGACTTCTACTTTCATGGCTTTAGGGACATTTCATAATTTGTTTTCAACCATACCCTCCAATGAGAACCTTCTTCCAACATTAAATTAAAGGAGCATTCATAGGTGGAAGGAAGAAAGACCACATATTGACATCAGCAAGACTCGCAATAAAAGAAAAGTGGAGGAATTTGCCCAAGTGCTTGAGGAAACCCTTCCAGGCCCAGCTGATGCAAATGCACCTGAACGATGGGAAAATTTCAAGAATGCTGTTTATAACACCGCCTTGTCCACATTTGGCAAGAAGACCAAAAAGACAGCAGACTGGTATGAAGCCCATTCGGAGGAGTTGATGCTGGCCATTGAGGATAAGAGGAAAGATCTAGCAGCATACAAAGCCTGTCCTAGTGAGTACAACTTGTAGGCTCTTTGAGCTGCTCGTAACAGTGTCCAACAGGCTGCCAGGAGATGTTCCAACGATTATTGGCTCCAGCTCTGCTCTCAGATACAGATTGCAGCGGACACAGATAACATCAAGGGAATGTATGACAGTATCAAGCAGGCTTTAGGTCCAATACAGAAGAAATCTGCTTCCTTGAAGTCTGCTACAGGTGTGATTATCCAGGACTGAGCACAGCAGATGGACCACTGGGTGCAGCACTATTCTGAGCTATACGGTGGTGCCTTGCTTGACAAGGATAATTCGTTCCATTCAAATTGCTGTTAAGTGAAATGAAAAAGCCCATTGAAATGCATTGAAAACCGGTTCAATGTGTTCCAGTAGGCAAAATACGTCAGCGTCCAGTGAAGATCCTCCATAGGGTGGCCATTTTCCGGTCCCTGTAATGCGAGGAATCCGTCCTAAAGCACAGCGGGAAGCCATTTTGCACAGTGGGCGGCCATTTTGAAACCCGACAATCAGCTATTTTTGATTGTTGTTAAGCGGAAAATTGGGGGACCGATCAACGTTAAGTGAAAAAAGCCATTCAGTCATCGTTTAGCGATCGAAATAGTGCAAAAACTAATTGTCAAGTGATTTCCTCGTCTAACGTGCAAAAAACTAATTGTCACGTATTTCCTCGTCTAACGAGGTAATCGTCAAGTGAGGCACCACTGTATTCCAGAGAGAATGTAATAACATAGAGTGCCTGTGTGTCTTGGAAGATTTGGACAGCGAACCAACTTTAACAGAAATCAAAGCAGCCTTGGATTCCCTCGCCTCCAGCAAGTCACCTGGAAAGGATAACATCCCCGTTGAAGTGCTGTAAAGAGATCATCACCACTGAGCTGTATGAAATCTTTTGTCTTTGCTGGAGGGAAGGTGGAGTACCACAGGACATGAAAGATGCAAACATCGCCACATTTTATAAGAATGAAGGAGACGGGTGACTGCAATAACTACCGTGGTATCTCTGTACTCAGCATTGTAGGGAAGCTGCTTGCCCATGTTGTGCTGAAGAGACTCCAGGTGCTTGCAGACAGAGTCTATCCGGAATCACAGTGTGGATTTCGAGCTAATAGATCCACCACTGACATGGTATTTTCCCTCAGACAGTTGTAGGGGAATTGCAGGGAACAACAGCCACTCTTTGTGGCCTTTATAGATCTCACAAAGGCCTTTGATTTGGTTTGCAGGGATGGCCTTTTTAAAATACATCCCAAGATTGGATGTCCACCTCGACTCCTTACATTCATCAGGTCTTTTCATGAGGAAATGCACTGTAGTTTTTCATGACTCAACATCA